GAAGAAATTGTTGGAATAGCCAAAATAGCTGCAAATATGTCTCAGAAGTTCTTGTTGAATGTTCAATCCTTCAAACTTGACGATTTATCTCTTTCAAAAAGGACTGATATAGTTTTACAGAGCGATATGGATGTTCAGACGGCTTTGCAAAAATTGTCCAAAGTAACCGAAGGTCTATTAAGACATACTTTGGACGTTACTAAAAAGGCTGATGGCGAAATAGGTAACCTTGTTGAACAAGAGATGTTACACGCTGCTCAAGTTATTAAAGAGGCTATGGAAAGGATTCAAACTTTAATGTCACGACCTCGTGACTTAGGACTTAGTGCACATGAATTAAACGTTCATGATGCAATTTTGGAATCTGCATTGGCAGTAACGAATGCAATTGCCAATCTAATAAAGTGTGCCACTGATTCACAAGAAGAGATTGTCGCACAAGGCCGTGGAACAAGTAGTCATGCCGCTTTTTACAAAAAGAATAATAGGTGGACAGAAGGTCTTATATCAGCTGCCAAAGCAATTGCATTAGCTACTAACCTTCTCATAGAGACTGCGGATGGTGTTATTCATAAAACTCATAATCTTGAACAACTTATTGTAGCCTCTAATGAAGTAGCAGCAGCTACGGCCCAACTTGTCGCTGCTTCTAGAGTTAAAGCCGACTTTATGTCAAAGACACAAGATCGCCTAGAAACGGCTTCTAAAGCAGTTACGGAAGCATGTAAAGCTCTTGTTAAAGCCGTGAAAACTATTGCCGCTAAACAGTTTGAACAGAATGAAGCTGCAATTGATTATTCCAAATTAACACGACATGAATATAAGGTTACTGAGATGGAACAGCAAGTAGAAATCTTGAAACTTGAAAAAGAATTAACCAATGCTAGAAGAAAATTGGCTGAAATTAGGAAGCATGGTTACCATGATGAAGATGATGAGGATTAGAAAGATGAGAAATATTCGCGATTTAATTAGAGTTACTGCGTTCAAAATTTATTATTTTTAACACGTGATGCGTATATTTTTCTGTATTACAATTTTTTTTTATATTCATGGTTAATGCCATTCTTTAATAGTTAGTGATTTTATATATAATTTGGTTAGATCATGGTTTAAATATAATAATAGTATATAATCTTTTTTATGCTGATTCGTTGAAAGAATTAAAAAAAAATATATTTATTTATTTTTGTATATTATTAAAATTACTTTTTAATCACGTTATCGAATTGAGTTAAACAAAACGAGTTAAATTTGTTGTACAACTTTAATAGAATTAAGTCACGTAACATAACCTTTAAACGTACTTAAACAATGATTGTTTTCAATTGAATTGTTCATCATAATAAATAAAATTCCTATCCTTTTTCTTCATTGAATTTGAAAATTAGGTAACGTAACGAACGAAAAGACTTATCAAATTGCGCGGATCTTCCAAAAATTTATGCCACACTAAATCATAAATATCTACATACGGTACATACGGCATACGGTTTAAAAGAAGCATACACATTTAAAAAAACAATCCATTGGCTTATTTTCAATTCATGCATAATTTATTTATATGAATATAAGTTATGGAGGTAAAGTTATTCCGCGCGTTCATTTTTGTATGAGCAAAATTGAATTATTTTTTATTTGTGTTAAAAGGATCAAATCAATACTTTCTCTCCGTCACAATTTGTGTAAAGAAAAGAAAATCAACCTTGTGATTATTTAATGGTGTTTGTACTATAAATTAAACTCTGATGATATATAAAATTTTTTTCGCACGGTTATAAAAATAATTTATCATAATACTATATTTGGAATATTAATTTATACCGAAGCGGAATTACCCAGTGGTAAATGATTGTTTTCGTTGTAAATTTGAAAAAAAAAAAAAAAACGATTGGAATAATTTGTTAAATTATTTTGGTTAAATTAAAAGGAAAAAAAAAAAAGTAATTAAGTAATGTAATATATGAGAAACAAGAGTATAGTTTCCAACATTAATTTTGTGCAGGTTGTCAAAAAAAAAAAAAAAAACTAGGTTAGGTACTTTAGAATATTCCGTAATTTCTATAAATAAATTAAATCGTGTTTCAAAAAAAAAAAAATTAAATTAAATTACCAAATAAATTTAAGAAAAAAAGAATTAACGCGACTAGAATGGAACAAAATAATTTCGCAATCATTTCCAACTTGAATTTATTTTTATTTGTTATCCTTTTTTTTTTTTTTTTAAACTTTTAATTAATAAAAAATAAAATTAATGCAGGTAATTTCAAATATGTAATGATAATCGGTAACATCAATACTCTCTGAAATGAGCTGATCCTTGAATCATTCAATATAATTTCTTCGAAAATGGGATGAATGAAATATAAAAAAGTAAATTTACTTGTCAATTTTCATTCGTTACGTTTATAAATCTTTATTTGTAAAAAAGTGACACTTAAGAATGTTGATTGAATAAAGGAGTATTTATTTACCCTTATCGGGATTTCTTCAAAAGTGAAATATCAAAACAAATTAGTAACCATACATTAGGGGTTGCCTTTTTTGACTCGGAGTTTAATGAGTAAATTTTTTTATTTTTTTGAAAACCTAAAAGAGGGAATTACGGAGCGGAATAATGCGATAAAGAAGAAAAGAGAATTAGGCAGGAGAGAGAGTATTAAAACAGAACTGATTGGGGTGTCTGCTGCGAGGTTACATCTTTTTTTTTTTCTCGGCGTTTTTATTCTCGAATCAATAAATGGGGGAAAATAGAGTTATTCACTCGTTTTTTCCTTCTTGGAATAAATGGAAAATTAACATTTGATTCTCATTTAAAAAGTTTTAAGGGCTTGGTCTGTTTCACTTAATCATTAAATGAGAATGGTCCTATATATCTAAAGGAAGCAAGTAAGACTTTCCACATGTCCCATAGTTCACACTTGATCGGTTATTTCTAACATATCAATACATTTTATTGATGTAATCTTATTTATATTTTATATTTCATTCATCTTGTTATCTTTCGCTAGTCATATTGTATTAATCTATATTGTTAAAAAATCAAAATCTACTGAAAAAATTTTGTATTACATAATTACTGTATATGGGAAATAAAAGGATCTTTTACAATTTTTACAATGCACTATTTCCATTCATTCTTTTTTTAGCATTAGCATGTTAGCATGATCGTCAATGCTATTAATGCTATTGCAATTTGGATCTTCATTCACTTTTTTTACAATAATGTTGATCCCTTATTCTGTGAATATGTAGGTTATGTAGATTGACAATATGGCCATATGTCCCTTGCATGAATGCTAACATAAATTACATGCATGTTATGAATTAATCTTTTTCTTTTTTTTTTTTCCTTTTTTTTTTTTTCTTCTTTTTCTTTTTGTGCGTAACGTTTACCTAGACATCCATTCTCAATTTCCCAAAGTTGGATATTTCCGAATCATTGTATCAAAATTTTTCTTTATTTGTATGACCAAAAAATTCTTTTAATATGTCCAAAGTTACCATATACCGAAGCTTTACCATAAATGGTGACCTTTACATCAAAAATGCCATTGGGGATTCAATTTCCATGGTATTCCGTGATATTTCCGTAAGCGTTAATGAATAAATACGGTCAACCTTGTGACGCGTGCTACGCCAAACGCGAATTATGATTCATTTATTTGTTGTTTTACCAATGTCTTATGATTTAATTTATTCTTTGAAATCTCATTTCTGACTGGTCCGATAAATGTTTTATGATTATTTTATCATTGATCCATCAGTAAATTAACATAAAACCTAATCTATTAAATAATCATGCAATCATGACGGAACTTTCACGGAGACTAAAAAAAAAAAAAAAAGACCATGTATGAGATGCATGAATTAACTATTTTAAATTGTTTGTTACAATGAAAGGTCATAAAGAGTCGACAAAGCAACTATTTTAATAAAAAATTTGATTTGTAATAAACCGAACTATATGCTGAGTGGTCGGATAAGTTAATAATGTTTATTCCATATTTCATAATCTAACCAAAGGATCAAAGCAATACTTCCAATGAAAAGTCAAAGTAAGGAATGGACTTTTATTTAATCGTTAAGGCATATACTAAAATAGATTCTTCCTTGTGAGATTAGGGAAGAAAAAGGGCAACAAGGAAAAAAAAAAAAGATTCCTTTTTAGAAAGATCTCAATAGAAGAATCTAGGGAGGTTAAAAGATGTAATTTGCAATTCATTTATCTGCGCCTTTAAGATTGATAAAAAGATGTTCCCAGAAGCAAAGAAAAAAAAAAAAAGAGAGATTCGCGTTGTGTACATTCGCGTGAGAAATTTTTGGCCCGTTTCAAAGTAAAAATCTTTCTCCTTATTCTCAACTGACCTTTATGGGTAAAGATAATTTGGTAAAATCAAAGAAGGGAGTGCGTTTTAACTCAGGTCTCCCTTTTCAATGGAACAAACAAAAAAGATTTATCTTGAGGCTTTCGAATTTGGAAAGTTACAGAAGGATGCGCGAAGGATGCAAAAAGATAAGTTCTTGGTATGAAAGTTACTAACAAGGAAATTAGAACATGGTAGGAGAACGAATCAAAATCATTACAAGATGATTCTTTGTCTTTCATTAAATATCATTATCCGATTAATAATTTAAACGTTTATCCTCTAATATCAGTGAGGTACATTTATGCATGAACAAAAAGGAAACATTCACGAGCAAAAAAAAGAACAGGATTAAAAACTAGTTTTGAATTTATCATGTACAAAAAATTAATAAATAAAATTAAATTAACAGAATATTTAGGAAATATGAAATCAAATTTAATTATTTGTTTGCTATTTCTTATCAACGTAATACTTTGTCATGCATCTGATTGAATCACATAAATATAATTAATTTAGAAAAAAAAGTATAAAATTTTATTTTATAACTTAGATATGAGAGTTTTATAGGAACTGATCGCGAATTCTGTTCTTATTTTCACGTTTATCCTTATGCACATTTACGTGATTATTATGTGTGAGCTTTTTTTTTTTTTTTTTTGATTATTCATTACACATCCGAAAACAATCAAAAAATGACAATCATTATTCAACCCTCAAAAACTTCATTCTTCTTCTAAAAGATTATGATCGTTCGTTGTTTCAGATACTCAAGATAACAATGTTGAGGCGCATTATCCCCGCTGAGGTAAGGTAGTTGTATAGTAGAGGAGGCTTGGCAAATCGGCGCTTTTAGCCATTTAACCTTCTAGAAAGAGTGGTTTTGTATGCGCTTGTGGCGGAAAAAAAAAAATAAGAAAAAAACATATTGTCATTATCAATCTTACAATAATTACATTTTAGGGTCGGAACTGTCAAATCTCATATCCAACTAGGAAATTACTTTTATAATCCTTATAGCAAACATATGGAAATCCAATTATATGCATGCGTTGCTTAAAAAAAAGATGATTATCAACATTTGTTTCATCGTATGAGCCGAATTCGTAAATCGAAATCCGAATTCGTCATCACATCACTATTTAATGTACCAAACGGTTCTTATAGAAAACCGACATCTCACCATTGCCACACGGACAAGTTCAAATCGATACGATTAGCGAGATGACATCAAACCTTTATCAAACGTTTCCAAGTCTTTGCACGTCAAATCATCATGCAACCTTACATCATGTGGGCCAATAAAAACCAAAGGATGCTCATACTCCGAAATCCTTTGCAAGAGATAATATACCCATTGTCATAATAAACTTTTGGTCGTTACCACATTGATTTTGTAAACATTTCTATTCGTTACGTTTATTAAACGAAAGAGCTCAGATTTGACTCAGAGAAAAACATGTACGGTACATTGAATAAATTTACGTTTAAAGGTGGCAAGAGGAGTTCAATTACGAAAGGTAATTAACAAATAAGTTTGAATGATTATCCCTCCCATGTATGTGTTCTTTCATTCTGACAGTTTATTCTTACCCTAAATATTATATCATGATACAAACTTATAAGTTTGAAATATGGCCGAAAAATATATTTTAATTTACGATAACGGTAACATTGTATTCAATTCACATTGTGATAAGCTGCGGTTACTAATATTTTAAGATTTTCGAAACCCTTATTTACCATTTATGTATTTATATAAATTAATTTACTCTTAACCAATTAAGTGCCTGCTTGTGAAATTTTGATTTAATACGGTAATATTGACAATGAAATTCTTTCAAACAAAAAGAAAAAGAGCGTCACGGTAAATTTTTTCGTTCCTCCCTCCAAGGTATTATATAAAAATAAATTTATCTGATAGGGAATTAAATAAAGAAAATAAATAAACAAGTAAATAAAGATTTAAATGATAACCTTAAATGTCTATAATAAAAAAAAAAAATTCTCTAGAAATCAACATACCTTGAAACGAATTAAATGAAATCTTTTGCATTCACACCCCTTTTTTTATTTCTATATTTATTCTTTTATTTTCCCTAAACAAAAGTTCACGATATGTGAGATAAAAATCATTAATGATTACGAACTTATTTATTGTAAAATTTATGCCAAACATTTTCGCGTATAGCCGGCTTTTTTTTCTATTCATGAAAATTTCGGTTTACAATCACTGACTCGTAATCACATTGCATGACATTGAATGACGGATTTATTTACAAAAAAGAAAAAACACTCATTAACGGAAAGGTAATCACAAATATCTCCTAAGCTATCTTAAATCATTTTCATTTTTTTTTTTTTTTTTTTATTTTACACAAAAAGTTTAAAATAACTTTGAAAACGAAATTTGTAACCCAATCATTTCCTACGGAAGGCTAGAATCGTAAACACAATGACATAAAAGTCAATTGTTGTTGCTTTAGACCGCTTGCTTTGCTTGTTTCATTTTAAGGTATGCGCTATCGGATATTAGGTAAATAAAACGAAACTTTCTTTTGAATTTGTTACAAGTTTGAATACAAGTAATATGACTTCTTTAACATGCTTTACTTGAACTTTCCCGATTATGGTTTTGTTTGTTACTACCCTTTCTTGCGCCTGGATTAATGAGGAAAGAGAAAGGAGCATATGATTAAGTCATTTTATTCGTGAAAAAGGAGAATTAACTTTAAACTGTAGATTAAAAGGGGAAAAAAAAAAAATTCATGTCGCTTGATCACATTACAAAGTCAACTACCTTAATTTGTGAATGATTAATTTATCACGTTTCAACTTTAAATTTTTTTGTGCTTTATTTTACAAATACGTTTTTCCCGTTTGAAAACTCATCAAGTTATTAGTTATTATGATATCTACAGTACATCAAACCCGTAACTATTAATAATTAAGCATCCCGGACGGTTTTAAGATTTAACCGATTTATAAAAAATATCAATGATCCGATTTCCGATATTGATTCCAATTCTTAATCATTTAATTAAATTGTTGTGTTTCAACCTATTATGTGGCGTAGCACGTTTCTTCGCAGCATGGCGCATATTTCTTGACTCGGCGGCGAACGCGGCAAACGAATCGTTAAATAACGGTACGAGGGAGACAAACAAATCAATTCATTAACATTGCAAAACCAGGGTCATTAAATGTCCAAGTTCCTTCTTTACTTTTCTTGGATGATTATGTTATGTAAATAACAAATGGTCGGTCAATGCTAGCATCCTTGATGAAATCATCATCATTTGTATGGAATGAATGGCAAACATACGTTTTTGATTTTGTACAATAAAACGCAAAATACAATGGTGGCTTGTTGCATTATTAAATTTTCATTCACATTATAGTCATAGAGAAATACTGAATATGGAAAAGCCAAGAATATAATTAAAGTTTAGATTTCAAGAAATGGCAATGAAAACAAATTTATTTAATTAAAGCGTTAAAGGAATTACACGCTGTAAAGACAAAGGCAAATGAACAATTGTCGACGCGTAAACAAATCACACGAGTAGTGATGTTCGGACAAAAACGACTTTTTTAGTGTATAAAAAAAGGGAACCACAGAAAGTCACATGACATTTAAACATAATGTATGCATTGTTATGCGCTTCATTTTTTTTTGATGAATTTGAGTTGTCAAGGAAAAAAAAAAAAACGGTTATTTGTAAAAAAAAAAAAAAAATAAAGGAAAAAAAAAATGGGCAGCATGTACGATTACATTTTGTATACCAAAGTGGTCATGAATTGTGCTTTCGCTTTTAATTTTAATTTTATTATTCCCAAATTTGAATAAATTTGAAAATATTTTTTTTAAAAAAAGGCAATTTTATTTGTGTCGGTCTAATGACCTTTGATGGCCTTATCAGCTGTTGCTACAAAAGATCCCTAATTTTTCAGAATGATACCACCAAAATCCTTCAAAAGAAAATTTTCTCATCCCGACATCTAATTTAATGTCGCACTACAGCGATCTTATTTTTAAGTTTTTCGTGAATGCATCAAAAAAAACCTGCATAAAGCTGAGTTATTTTTATCTTGTGATTTTAACCTACAACACACATTAATGACATGTATTAGAATTTTTAGGCGAACGAAGATTTAAGAAAAGAATATAGATTTTTTTGTTTTATTACTTAATAAGTGTGATACGCATTTGTGCTTTGAAAGTCGCTCTTTTTGAGACAATTAAGATTATAAATCTCGGAATGTTGTTAAAGATTATTAATATTGATTTAAATTTGGTAATTTATTACAAGAAAATCGTATGTAATAAACGCTATCTGATTAGTTTATTTTTAGAATTACATAGGATTACGTTTTTCTTCACGTTGAACCGTTATCTTTTGTTTCATTTTTTAAATTGCTTATCTTAATAATTTATTGTGACTTTTCGTCCATATATTCATAGAAATATGTTCTATAATCGTTTAGTTAAAAAAAAAAAATTTTTTTTTTTATAATATACTAGTTTTTTTTTTTTATTTATTTTGAATTTAATTTAAACTATTATCCAAATGGTTTCAAAAAAAAATTTTTTTTTTTCAATTGAATTGAACGATTGATATTTTAAAACAAAAAAAAAAAAATTGATTTTTTTTTTATTTATACAAAAATTAAGTAGGTAATAAAATTTAACACCCTTTCAATTCAATTTCACCAAAATGAGAATGTTCTACAGAATTTTTATTGCAAAAAAATTTTTTTATTAATATTTTTTTTTTTTTTTTTATCATATGTATATATATATATTATTTAATATATTAAAAAATTTTTTTATATATACATATCGTTATTGTGTATTTATAAAAAAAAAATTTTTTAAATACATATTTTATTATTTAAAGTAACCAAAGTAACATTAACATAAATATATGAAAAGAAAAAAAAACGATCGACCGTAATTTCTGGAAACACAAAATTACGAATTTGGGGAATTATTGAAATACAAGATTTGGAAATCCGTTTAAATATAAGTACAAAAATTCCTCCCTGGACTCAAATTCATCTGGACGCAAAAAAAAGCAAGAAAAAAAAAAAAATATATATAATATCTGACTTGAAAAAAAAAAAAAAAGATCACCCTAATCTATTTTAGGTACTATCCCCAAAGCACTGAAATTTTTTTTTTTTGTTTGAACCCGAACTTTTTATTTTCATTACTCTATATATCTATATTTATCTATATATATATATTTTTAATCTTTTTGAAATCAAAAAAACTTTTTTTGAAATCTAATATATATATAAGCTTAAATTTCCGGCATCTTTTCTGATTTCTTTTTTTTTTCAGTTTTTTAAAAAAAAACTCAAAAAAAAATCTTTCTCTTGTATCATTTTTCTATTTCTATTTTCTATTTCTTTTATTCTCTTTCAACGGCCACTATTTTCCCCTTTTAAAAAAAAACCTTTCTTACTTTCTTACCTTTTTTTTTTTTCTTGTGTCTCCCATTATAGTTTAGCGTAAAACAAGGTAGCTAGTATACCTTTGGCTTACAACAAACTACTTTATAAACAAAAAACAGAACGAGCTTTTAAATAATTTGTATATATATATCCTTTCAAAAAAAAAAAAGCAAATATCACGAAAATGAACGACGATAAAAAGAGTTTAAGCATGCAATACATATCACAAAGAAACGTTAACTCACATTACTTACCATCGTCAAGAATTGTTAATAAAGGTTCAGAAACGACAACAAAACCTCCGACCTTTCAGTTCATTCCTCATGATGAGATTATCAGTTTATATGAGCAACGAAAGGGGACACAATATTTCATACCCGAAGGATACGAACCAGTCCTAGTTCCACGCGATTCTCCGCTACAACCGGTTGCAAATCTACTCCAAAATGGCAAAAATTTACAACAACAGCTTCTTAAACAGCAACAACTAAAGATTCAGCAAGCGACAACGCCGGTCGTCGTCGTTAGCAATAAGTCCAAGGCATCCATCCCACACATTGTTCCAACCATAAGTAATCAATCCAATCCCACCACATCCGATGTTCGCTTTCCACAATTAGTGTTGGCTAGAACTTCAGCACCGACCCAGCGGGCGGGAGCGGTCGCTAAAGCTCAAAAACCAAAGAAGCCCCCGAGACCCCCAAATGCCTTTATCTTATACCGCCGCTCAAAGCAACCTGACATAGTAAAAAATAACGAGGGAATATCAAACAATGAAGTATCCAAACAAGTAGGGGAAATGTGGCACAAGGAGCCCTTAGAAGAGAAATTAAAGTTCCAACGAATGGCCGACGCTGCTAAAATGGAACACATGAAGAAGTATCCAGAATATAAATATCGACCACGAAGACCTCATGAAAAACGCCGTCGCACCAAGAGACCAAATGCAAGTTTGACCAATAGTAAAGTATCCTCAACTTCCACAAATAACAATGTCGTATCCATAACACCAAATAATGAAAACACAAACGCCACAAGCCCCCTAATGAACACTATTACCATTGATGATAATAATAATAATAACGACAATGAACTTTCGTTTCTGCAAATGGATCGACGTTCCTCGATCGATACGGTTAGCACCGAAACCACCTTTGAGTACTTTGATGAATCCCGTCGAAGCTCAATGATCTCCGTATCCGGTGATGTTGATTATTATGATTACGAACACGAACCAATTGCTCTCTTTGATGATGTAAACCCATTGGTGGACGAGTCCAAACTTTCATATCCTGTTGTTACTTCTTCTGATGAATTTAATAATGTCTGCGTTGATAACGCTTTTAACTTTATGATGGAGGGTGTTGTTACACCTGAAAACGATTCCGAGGTTAACCCATACAATTTCTTCGATTTTGGGTATCAAACGCATACCGAACCCTTAGATTTTATGCAGTTCAATAATTTTGATTTGAACTCTTATATGCCTTCGCCAGAAGACCAGATGATTTGCGAACGACCTATTGGTGTTTAACATTTTTAATAACTTAATAATTTGTAAATTTACTTGGTAAGCTTTCCCTTCGTTACTCTAGAATAATCACCTTGTACTTGATTAAAATTGATTGGTATTAACAAAATTTCTCTTTATATTTTTACAGTTATTTATTTTCCCCAAAAGTATTCTATTATCTGGTCCCGATAGGACCCCTAATCCGAAGATAAGTTAGTTGGTAGCTAAGGAGAACATCGTTACTAGAAATACTTACACACTACGGACACTTTTATTCTTTGAAATGTGAAATGCAAAATCTCTCGGGTCAATGTATAAAAAAACTTTTTCTTAACTTCGAAGAGGTTTGGTATTTTATGATTCAAATTGTTTATATATATTTATATATTTATTTGGGTTGGGATGTGTGGGTTATAATTAATTTTAAAAAAAAAAAACAAAAAAAAAAAAACAAACAAAAAAAAAAAAAATTAATTCATGTAAACCGTCCGTATTAGTTAGTGTAGGTAATATTACTCTAGTTTTCTCTTTCTTTTTCTCTTATACACTAATAATAGAGTTAAAGAAGAAAAAAAAAAAAAATCTCCTAAAATCCTTGTACATATATTCAGTTGTAAAAAAAATTCTTTTCTTTTCGCTTTTTCTTTTTTTTTTTTTTTTTTACTTCTTTGTCACTTTTATTTTTAGTAAAAACATACCTCCATCATTTTGTCTTTTATTTTTTTCATGATAATAAAACCAAAGATGAACTAAAATATTTTTATTTAATTTTTTATTTTCTTATTTTAATTGTGAATAATAAATAAAAGCCATTTTTGTTATATTAATATAATCTCTGCTGATTCAATCTAAATGATCTAAATGATTCCAAAATCTTATCGTGACTTGTTTGTTTGTTTGTTTTTGGCATCATTAACTTTTTACGGATTATCGTTAGTAAAAGCTCGTGACCAAATCCACGACGCCAAAGAAAAAAAAATATCCAACAAAAAAAGAAATCTTGTAAAAAAAAAAAAAATTTTCATTGCATATGTATAACATGAAAAAATTTGCGTGCGAAAAAAAAAAAAAATAATAATAATAATTTTTTTACATTTACTACTTCGTTTATTGCCGATGACCTTCCTTTTCCTAAAATGTTAATAAAGTTCCAACATACAGACAGGTGATTATTTTTCATCGAATGCGACATTTCAAAACTCTCTGTTTATACTTTTTTTTGTAACTAAAGAGAAATAAAAAAAAAAAAAAAGTAGTCTATATTGATGCAATTTAATGCTTCACGGCATCTTCGTTGGTAAAAATTTTTTAAGGTTTCGACCTTACACATATATGCATTACATGTTATGTTTTAATATATACATGGTTGCACTGTTGGGAAAGCAAAAGAAGCGAATGGAATAAGAAAGGATGGTAACCCGCGTAAAAAAAAGTGATTATCAAATAATAAATAAAAAAGCCGCTTTCATAAAGATAAGGATCATTATTACATAAGTAGAAAAAAAAATTTTTTATGATATATATTAACTGTGTATCTCTGTATCTGTATCTAATGTTTGTCTTCTATGAATCTATGAAATTTAGGTACATTATCATTCATTATTTAATTAATTAAACTTTGAGAATTTATTTTGTTACGCAGCAGAAATCAACAACATCTTTTACTACGCGTCAGTTGAAATCTCCCAGACTTTCCAGACTTTCAATAATTAGTAACAGGTTTTTGGTTTTCACTTGTTCTTCAAAATTAGAAGTTCATTTTGTAATGTAGAAGGATTTTTTTTTTTTTGTATCATATCAGATATAGAACAAACATTCGGAAACCCTTTCTAAAAAAAAAAAAAATCCTAATGTTAAATTTAATAAATTCGGTTAAGTTTAAAAAAAAAAAAAGTTACACCAACCTGCCAGAAAAACACAGAAATATCTATTTTCATGGCTTAAGTAAAAAACTCTAAGTCACACAATAATTTAGGTTTTATTTTTAAGAATTTTTAAGAATGTTCAACTATATGGATCACCATAACTCATTAGTTCATAGTGACATCAATTTGAATGGGCCAATAATTGGCAAATAAGATTATTATTGAAATGATTATTTGGTATCAAAAATATCATCTTGTACCAATTGCAGGCATTTAAGATCTCAGAATCGGTTGATCCAATTTCTTTTTTAAAATTTCTCAACGATCCAAGGTCTGGATTCAAAAATTTTGACATCTCAATTCTTCTAAGATGAGGATGGTGATGATGATCGTGGGAAAATAAATATTCTTCCTAAATGAGAACCGGAGTTATGAGATGGTCGTGTGATTGTCATTGGATCTATCAATCCTAGAAGGAAAAATTTTTTGGCGTCCGGAATAACATACGGATGTTATTACGTTGGTATATTCTATGATTCCATAGTTCTTTACCAGTGTAACTTCTTTTGTAATTCCATAAGCCGCCTTATTGACTACTCGTACCACCAATTTAATAGATTCAGATTTGATCATTTTTTTTTTTTTTTGCAAAAAAAAATTTCTTATAAATTCATTCGTCACCAATCATTCGTTCGGAGGAAATTACGAACTTCCCTTCCGAAGGTTTCATTTTCCTGCTCCGAATCGTCGCTTGACTTAAAGTCAATTGTACAACCCTTGTTCATTTAGAAAAATTCAGGAGTAAATAATTAATGAATAAAATGAATTTGGGTTGATTAGATGATGATGTTATGTTGTAAACAAACACAAAATAGAACGCTAAATTTCAACGCGTGTGGATCTCAACATCCAATGTTAGCTTTGTCATGTGCATAAATGATGTTCCTCTTCCTTGTTGCGCAATGTATTTCAAAAATTGTGACTTATTTAGAATTACAAGACAACACACTTTTTGAATATCATTGGGGTGTGACGCTTGCATGATGGTAACAAACAACAATAGGAAAATTGGTACATTGTCGCTGTTGCATGCTTTGTGACCAATTTTGAACTCTGGATTCAGGGAGTTTATGTAAAGTTGTTTTTTGAGACATTTAGAATATAGGAATTCACGATTACCCTCATTCTATAATGATGTTTTTTTCTCCTGCGCTTTTCGTGCATTTTTCCACCGCATATTTATTATTATGAAAATAAACATTTAATAATTTAATTATCAAAGCACCCCCCAAATTTTCGCTTACCCAAGCACGATCGTTGAACGAAACTAAACTCATTATGTTCAAATATTTTTTTTTTTTCGCGAACATTTTAATTGGCTCGGTTACCTAATCGTTTCCCTATCTTTGTCAGGTTTCCCTTTTTCGGGGATCGATCTGCATAATGAATACACGTCCTTATTCCATTTTTTACAGCGAAAATTTCCTTTTTTCAACGGTTAATAACAGAGTCCATTTGAAGTGTAATGATCCACCACAAGAAGAAAACCTCCTTTCGATAAAACGAATCTTTTTTCTTCAAAATTTATAGAATGGTTTTGACGTTCTCTAGTTATCGATTTCAGAAAGATGGGAAGATTCTTATCATGATAATAATAATAATAAAATTACACTGTAAATTCTGAGTTTGTATATGTCATGATAACATGATAACATCATATGTAAACATAAACTGTTTATGCAAGGAATGTAAGGGTCTCGCAAGAAGCACGGTATAGGTTCATGCTTGATACAAATAATAACGTATCACGATAAAAAAAAAACAAAATGCGTGTTTCACGATATGTATCAATTGTATCCGGTTCAAGTTATTCACGTGAATGCTTCAGGTTACTTTGTTGTATAAGCAGGGTCATTGTCATTTTTTATTACAGCAGTGAAAAGCCTTTATTTACGCGCGTTGTCTCCTGACCTAATTGTGTATGCATGTGATTTTTATATTTAAAAAAAAAAATCTACCCCGCAGATCTTTGACATAAGTGCCTTAATAGGAAATTCGTGAAAATCAATCAATCAATCTCGTACGATAAATTCTCCCCCCCCCGGTTTAAATTTTTTTTTTTGATCCAGGTATAAAAAATTATTGACAATAGATACTTTTCAATCGCTTTGTATATTGGAATGAGAGTGTCGAACTTTGATTCAAACGATAGAACGATACAACTGGTCTGAATTGAATTACGTCGTCTGATCGTTAAGTTCACGTCTCATCGAGAAATCTTTAGACGGCATGCAAAGTAAAGAGAAATCCTATCAAGTTGATTCCCTGAGAAAAAAGTTTAATTTCGAAAGGGTTCTTGTTTGTTTACCTTTGCGTGGTCCCATTAGGACGCGTTCTTGACCGTAACCACGACACTCTCAACACTTGAAAAAAACATTACCGATTACTCAACATCGCACGCTATTTCTTAAATAGTTACGCTACATAATGTTTCTGCTGTAAGACAACGGCACTTTTTGTTGCATGCCATTGGTGTAATCTTTTTTTCAGAAAAAAAAAGAGATTTTCACACGAAAGGATTACTAAGGCGCTTTAATTTTTAATTGGTAATATGTATTCATTTATTTATTAATTAATTCTCTTTCTGGTCTAGTAGCGTTTCTGGTAACGGATGTTCCAGTTATTTCCGTTTACACCAATTACGCGATTAATTTATTTCCGAAACACGAAAAAAAAAATCCCTTTTTTTCTCGCATCTTTTTGTAGAGAAAAAAAGCAAGATGGCTTGAAAACTTTTATTCTTACCTTTCTCGTAACTGTTTATATACTTATCATTTTAATCAACTTCATTTAAAATCTAAGTTTGGGAGAAATTTAAATGGATGTGTTATGCATCAAAATATCATGCAGCAATCATTAGGCTATTTCGCCACCACATTTGATGTTTTTACGCCAAAGTGTATGATGCATTAGGCAAATTTGTTTAATACTCCGATTAAAAATCACAATAATGGCTTTTTGAATGATAACTGATGACAATCAAAACCGGCAAAAAACGACTTTATCATTTTTGTATTTAATTTCATTGCCACAAACTGTCAAAAAGGTCCCATTTCCATGAGAAAAAAATAAAAAGCTTGGTTTGTTTCAAGTTGTACCCGTCCCGTTTGTGAAATCTTCAACACATTTTCATTTTCATTCAAACTCTAAATTTCGCGTCCTTTTTCAGTTTTTATAATCAGACTTTAGCATTTTTACGGTTTTGTTCGGATATAAACGGACCTTGAAAATTTTTCTTCTCGTAACATGTACCTTTCTTAACCATCACACCATTTTAAATTAAATAATTAAAAAAAAAAAAAAAAAAAGGGCTTTGGTAACTTTGATAAAGGCATACATACAATAAATATATATAAAATACCTTTTTGTTTTAAAAATCTTGAAGTAATGAGTTTCATCTCTTTCAATGTGACTAATTAAATCAAAATCAAAACTTTTTGGTTTGTTATTATTGTGAAACCCTTTCCTTTATCTTGGAGTAGTCTTGTTATCATCCACAAAGGTAAGGTTCAATAAGGGCGATTGTTATATGCAAGACGTCGATCCCGAATTTTCTCATTGAATTTGCCAACTTTACTTTTAATGAAAATAAAAAGCAATCGCATATTGGTTGTGTAATAAGAATGATTTAAAATATTCTTTATGAAGAGACGAGAGAGTGTGTGAAAGGTTGAAATAAACAGGAACAGAATTCTTTATTATTCTTATTAATTATTAATGTATAAATATACATGTGGGTTGTTATAGGTCAAGCAATAAGCATTCGACATGTAATAAGAACGCTAAACTATTTTCGAAAATTAAAGTTAAAAGAAAGTGACTTATATCATGTGATATTTGCTATGTGTTATAACATTTTCTTCATTCGATAATAATGTTATGGTAATATGTTTGTGACTAATGAAGCAATTTTTATTTTTTAATCAGAAAGTCTGCTGCATCATTACCAACTTGACGGAATTCCCAAATAATCAAATTTGGTACCCAACCGAATCGGGTAACTTTGCTTTTTGGGAATCTTCATAATTCGCCGAATATGCTTTTTTGGTTGACGTAATTTTGAATTCATATAAAATTTTTTTTTAAACGCTTCTCGTTTTATGTAACTAAACTTAAAAAGTTTAGACTGTGTTTTTTAATGTCGGCGCTGACTATGCATATAATATCTGTAAAATATATAAATTTTTTTTTTTCAAAAAGAATTTTTTTAACTTTTTGATTCCCTCTTTAATGATCCGTCTCCTCTAAAACAACTTTCACAACATTTCTATAAAATTTTATAAAATTTTCAATTTGAATGCTTCTTTGGATGTTTTAAGCTGGAATTAAAAAGCAATGTTGATGGTTAATTTATTTCAATATAACTAATATTTAATTCGAGAATCCGGGATCTGTCAATTCCGATATCATAATTATCAATTAACTAAAGATGTTTAAATACATACATCTAAACTATGTAATAATTTTTTTGGGATCAAGTATTATCATCTTTACTAAGAATAGCATATAAATCATACAATTATATTAGTATTGACATTTCTTGTAATTTTTAAAATAAAATAGTAAATTATTATCTCTTAATTCGTCTAGTAGGTAAATTTATTTGCCAAAGATTTATCATGTATACATCATATACAGTAAATTTTGAAAGCATTGATAAAGAAATTACTGAATTATTAAATTTAGTTCTATTAATGTTAATAGTTATTGATGTTTCTGAGATTGCATACATATCTGAGTATAAAATACTATTTACTTTATAAAATTATTATTCCTATAATCATATTATATCTTAAACATTGGTCATGGATTTAAATCTGACTATTAGTTAGAATAATATATGATAATTCTTATCATTTCAAACAAATCATATCTTATATAAAAATTTATTATTAAATATAAAATCAGACATAAACTTATATATTATTAAGCTTAAAAATAAAATGTCTCAATTAATTGTAATACATAAATTGCAATTAGTTTTTAATATTACAATAATTTTATTACCTTTCTTTAATTGAATTTACGTTTACTTAAAGTAAAAACTTAAAATTAAAATTAAAAGTTTAACAAAATAAAATAAATACTAATATTAAGAATATAAATTTAAAGTTAAAATCATAAAGTTAAAATAAAATTTTAAAAAAGCTTTAATTATATCTTTTTCTATATTAAAAATTTAGCTTTTTAAACAAAAATATGAAAAAAAAAAATTAGGAATATGATAAGATAATTTAATAGATAGAAAACACTTTTAATAAATTAGCTAAAAACTAAATTTTTATCATTTAATTTAAATTAATCAATGATATATTAAAGTTAAATTTAAATTTTTAAATTTTTTCTAAAATTTAAATCAAATTTAATATAAATTCTAATAAAAAATATCTAAAATTATATTATAAAAAAATAAAATATTTAATATATTTAATTATTAATTTAAATTAAATTAAAAAAATTATAATTTATATAGTAAATATAATTTAAAATATTTTAATATAATATTAGTTTTTACTATATATATTAAAAAAATATTTAATATTTTTTAAAATATATAAAAAGTATAAAGTATT